CTCGTTAAAATTTAAGAATATGCTTTATTTAAAAGCATATTTAGCCAAAAATAATAACAAGTGAATTAACTTAACGTTCTACACACCTATAAAACTTTTGCTTTGTTTTCTATTGTTAATTTATATACATTTTTATTTTAAGAAATCGCTAAACATGTTCGTCTAGTACTGTACAGTTCTAGCCGATCTCCTAAGACCGCCCATCCAGAGCTCTGCTCGTTTAAGCTTGTTCCAACTACTTCTGTCTTGCTTTCGCCTAGTGTGTATTCTTTCTATCTTCGCGCAAATTTCTTCAAGGTCACAATTCAAACAAATTGAAATGGGCTGTAAATGGTTGATAATACCTTCACAAAATGACAGTAGGGAAGCTAAAAGCTGACGCAGGTACTTGCCCAACATGCAGTATACCAACAAGCAATTCCGTTTAAATTGTGTTTCGAAAAAGGTTCAGTCAGCTGATAAAAATATTAAATATTTACGACTTGTTGTATTGGTCCAATACATTACTTTTCAGAAAGATAAGAAATAAAATTTAGTTAAGTTCCGATAAACTTGCATTATAAAAATGCGGAACCAAATGCAGAAACAGATGTGGAAAACTATGCGGAACTTCCACAATCGCGGAAGCGGACGCAGAGATCTGTTGCAACATTAGTATGGAAGAATGGGTGGAAAGCTACAAATAAAGAACAACTAAAGCGTAGAATATAGTAAAGGATAAGGATAAGTTGATACAAACACCGTCCGTATCGTCCATGTTAAACAGAAACTGCGTATCATTAAAGATAAAGGTTCTTTGTCAATATTTTACATGTATATTTCATAAACTTAGATGTTGGAAGGACCATTATTTAAACAATATACCACAGGCATAGACAGGCTCGACTAATCAAGGATTTCTGGGCAGGATTATATAAAAATAGGTGGGAAGCTACAAATAAAGAACAACTAAGGCATAGAATACATCAAAACTTAAGCGGAATGGATATAAACATGATGAACCATGTTAGATAAAAACTGTATATCATTGAAGACAATGGCCTTTTCTCACCATTTTAAATATCATCATCATAAGGTCGTCAAGACTGGTTGGACACGCACCTTCACTCTTTCCTATCCTGAGCTTATCTTCGCATTTCACTAAAACTAGAACATCCCACATCTTTAATTACTTTCGAACAGTAATCGAATCTCAGTCTACCTCTAATCCCTCTAACTTCCGTTTCTGCTTCTAATATATCTCTGATTAGACCTTCATGCCTGAGAAGGTGTCCTACCAATCTATCTCGCCTATTTCTTATTGACTTCCACAAAATCGACTGTTCTCCTATTCTTTCTAATATCTCTTCATTTCTAACTTTCTTTATCTACGGTATCATCCTTATCATTCGCCTGTAACACCACATTTCGAATGCTTCTAACCTTTTCTTTTCCACCGCGCCCACCGTTCATGTTTCGCACCCGTACAGCGCCGTGCTCCAAACATACACCAAACAATCGTTTTCGAATATCTAAATTAACCGTTTGCGAGCGTAGAAGTGACTTTTTTATTTTAAAGGCGACTNTTAGATGTTGGAAGGACCATTATTTAAATAAATTAGATTATACTTATTTTATAGTTTTATTTTTCTCGTATCTCATTGTCATTACTGAATGATTGTTATGATTGTCATAAACTATCTTGCAAATGATGATAATTAATCAAACGTAAATACTGAAGTTTCGCAACCTACCTATAACACGAACGATTTATTCGATCATTTTAATAATTATACGTATAATCATTCGCTGGATGAACAAAACTAATTATTACATACTATTTTTATTCGAAAAAATGTCGGAAGATTTTTGTTTTGATAGAAGACATGACTAGTTATTATAGAACCAACATTGTACATGTTTCAGATAAACATCGTTTTCCACGTAGCAGCGACGGTGAGATTTGACGAAAAGTTGAAGGTCGCAGTTGCCATAAACGTTAGAAGTGTACAAGATGTACTGAAAATGAGTAAGGAGATGCTGAACTTAAAGGCAGTGGTCCACGTGTCAACTGCCTTTGCCTACTGTCACTTAAACTCTATTGAAGAACGATTTTATCCTCCGCCGATGAGTTACAAGAAGTTGTTGACCTTTGTCGACGTCTCAACCGAGACTCTTTTGGAGAAAATAACTCCTGAGTAAGTTTTATTTAAGTATTCAACTTTTGAGGATATTACTTAGGCTTACCTACCTGTACAATATGTCTGATCGGCACTTCGGATTTTGTCAATCGAATAATCGCGGAGTGTAGTTGACCTGTCTGCGCACCAGTTGTTGCGAAGGTCACAAGTAGGTATGAGTGTTTCGCCATTTGACGCTTGCGATAGCGTTGGGCTATAAAATAACGCGGCTGTCCAACTAGCAAATGTTTCATTGACGACTCGTTAACTGGGGTAGCTTTTGTACATACGTTTTACACCCCTTATGTTGTGCCGCTATCACGAGATGCACTCTATACTACCTGTAGATGTTACCTTTCAAATACTGCGGAATACTGATCAGACATAGTGTATGTTTAAAAATTTCATTATTTAAAGACCCTGCATTGTGCTCCAAGTTTCCGGACTACCACATTCAAAAAAGAAATCAATTTATAAATATTATGAAAACACACAATAAGTATTCAGGGCATTGTTTTGCTTGTTTAAGCAAGATCTTTCGAAATCAATATAAACCCGTTTGCCGCATGGTCCGCAATCTTAATAATTGTTAACGAACCCTTATAAAATATATCCTCTCGTAACCTCCAATAATACTATGGTAAAAACTGCATATCAGTTTCAATACAGAAACATAAGTTTCCAAAAGAGTTTGGCCAATTTCAATAAAAGATAGCCAACAGAAGCTATTTATTCTACTTTCCTTCATACAGCCGTAACGTTACTAGAAATGTAAAAAATATTCCAAAAATGATTTTACTCAAAAAAAGTCAGAAGTCATCAAGGGGAGGTCCAGGAAATCTGTTTCCTCTCCCGAACCACAGAAAATAAGTGTTATCATCGGAAATCCATACGACGACAAATACATCATAAAAATGAGCGTAACTGAAAAATTCTTCTAGATTCAACCCAATGTCCCACGGACTGTTTATAAACCAAGAAGTCACGTGTACTCAAGTTCATGAACCGAATTTTTGTTAATTCGTTTATTGTGTTCGATCTCTTTACTTATGATTCATTCTGGTGGACTAGAATTATATTGATATCAACACTTGTTTACCTTAAAATGGACTTTTGCGTAATTATGAATGAATAATTACGTACGATTCTTTTGAAATTTCCGAAAACCGAAAATTATGAAACTGTAGTTGATTCTATTTCTCCATTTCAGAGTCTTGGATAAATGGCCAAACACCTACACGTATACTAAAGCTGTAGGTGAAGATGTGGTCAACTGTGAAGGTGTTGGACTACCTGTCGCAGTTTTTAGACCATCTATAGGTAAGTGAAGTCGTTTCATTCTGTTTGTCATAACACTACGAAACTAACTAATCAAAATCTAAACACTCTTCTCTAGAAAATCTCAGTTTCTTACTAAGGATAATACGAGGTGTTTCCTAGGTCTTGTAATTTTTTTAGTGGGTTTCAGGGGTACCATTTTAAGAACTATTTTTGAAAAGACCAACAAAATAATATTAGATCTGACTAACACTTTCTCATATAACATCCAAGAACGGACAGTGTGTCATCAAGTGCATATTTGCTGTTATTGAAGGATTTCATGCTTTAAAAAACTATAATAGTCAAGTTGTTACCTTAGGAACATAAAATACTTCAGTTACACCAAACACCCACAAGATGGCTATGCACTGCCTGCTTTTGGATAATGTACTACCTATGTCTGATAGGTATTCCGAAAAAGTTATAGGAGCAGAACGTGCATGAAAACAAAGTAGAATGAGTCATCTCGCATCGCTCAGTATGTGATAATGACTTTACCGAAAGCCCCAACTGCTCCGGAAATGACCACCATGCATATTCTGCATGTGAATAAATTGGTTTTTGTTTGATATTTTCACACTCAACTTATCTTTGTATTTTGTGGTAATACTTTACCAATCGAGCACTAACGAGTGCAGATTATTACTAATCAATATTACGCACCATCAGCTGCTGCGAAGGTCGCGAATAGGTACGTGTGTTTCATCAGTTGACGATTGCGAGAAAATAACGCGGCTGCAAAACTATTAACGGTTCTCAATCATTGACGGCTCGTTAATTAGGATACTTTTTGTTCATACTTTTTACATTCCCTACGTTGTGGTGCTATCACGATATACACTCTACAGTGCCTCCAAATGTTGCGGAATACTGATCAGACATAGCGTTTACGAGGTCTGTTCAAAAAGTATCGCGAATTTTGAATTTATCGAAACCACCTAAGGCACCCTGACCAAATCAAGGAAAGTCGAAGTTAATAAACGTTCTTATTTCTCTTCTTGTTTTTTCAGTGATATCTACTTATAAGGAACCGATCAAAGCGTGGATAAACAATATGTACGGTCCAACGGGCGTGGTTATGGGTGCTGGTATAGGCCTCCTCCACAGTTTGCACTGCAATCCGAAAGTAAATGCCAATATAGTTCCTGTAGACATGTGTGTCAATGCTCTCATTGCGTCCGCTTGGGAAACGAACAAGAATTTCGAAGAAAGCCAAAAACTCAACAAGCAACCACCTTCACCCCCGGTACCAATCTACCATTTCGAATCTAGCAACGAAAATCCGATTGCATGGGGTTCGTTCATGGATAAATGCAGTAAATATGGAATGCGCACGCCAACGGTAAAAGCCGTATGGTATTACTACCTGTCCCTGCAAACAACCCTCATAGGGCACAATTTGTTAATTTTGTTCATGCATTTTCTTCCCGCATTCTTATGTGACATGGCATTAACTTTATTTGGAAAACAGCCTAGGTAAGTAAAATTTCTCTTTCATTCTACTACAAAACATTGAAAAAATAATGATAGTCCAGGCAATATGGACGGGTGAGTGGGAATAAATGATTCAGACTTTCGAAAATTCATAACTCGAAAAATATTAACTTTACAAAAAAAATTCACACCTTTTTCATCGAGATTAAATCAAGGAATATAAAAAAAAATTCTGGCCAAAAGAATTTGTTTTTTGGCGTTTGTTTAATCCGAATAATTTTTCCCACTCACCCGCCCATATTGTCTGGAATATGATGGAAAATCCCGATTACAAATACGTGCTGTCCAAATAAATTTAGTATCCAGATGGTAATCCGATTTATCTATAACTAATCCGAAAACTTTAAAAAATACTAACAGGAAGATTTTTTCTAAGATTTAATATTTAATTTCAGGTTAATTAAAGTTTACAAGAAAATCCACAAATTCTGTGCGGTAATTTCCTACTTCAGTACTAGAAGCTTTGAATTCGGTTCGAAACGTGTCCGAAGTATGATAAGGAACATGACGGAACAAGATCAAAAAATATTTTTCTGTGATCTTCGAAAATTAGATTGGGATGAGTTTTTCCTGGAGTACACAGAGGGAATAAGAGTGTACCTCATTGGTGATCCGATTGAAACATTGGAAGCTGCAAAAATCAGGTGGAGAAAGTAAGTAACAATTCAAATATTTCACTTATATAATGTACAGGAAACCCCAATGTATTCTGAAAAAAAATGCGTGATCTGATTCATTTTTAACGTTCGATTCTGATTGTAGATTGACACCATAAGAGAATGACAAATAGATTTCAATTAAACTTTAAAAATAACATTCATATTTAATAAATACTCCCAAAATTTCAAAACCATTAATGGAATAGTATAAGAGATTAGTTGAATCCGCCCTTAATGTCACGAATCCTCTCTCAGCATAACCTTCAGTAAGCACAAAGTACATACATTTTGAATCAGGGTTCCTTCATACCTCAACTTAATTCAACCTATTGATTTCATGTTAATTACAGTTCCTGCATACTTCAACCTAATTTAGCCAATTGATTTCATGTGAATGAGGGTTTCTTCATACTAGAATCTAATTTAACCTATTAATTTCATGTGAATCAGTGTTTTTTCATACTTGAATGTAATTTAACCTTTTGATTGCATGTGAATCAGGCTTCCTTCATACCCCAACCTAATTTAACGTATCGATTTCATGTGAATGAGGGTCCCTTCATACCTCAATCTAATGTAACCTATTGATAACATGTGAATCAGGGTTAATTCATATCTCAATCTAATTGAACCTACCGATTTCATTTGAATCAAGATTTCTTCATACTTGAATCTAATTTAACCTACTGATTTCATCTGAATCAGGGTTCCTTCATACTTTAACCTAATTCTATGTAACCTAACCTAACCTAATTCTGCCTACTAATTTCGTCCACGGGCGTTTGCCTACAGCCACTGCCACATCCTACGTATATTCATGTATGGCCTTACGACGACCGTCATGACATTCAAACACGTTTAACACGTCAAAAGATTAGTGATTTATAATTTAAAATTGCGATTAAATAGCAGACGTAGAATATTTTGCGTTTCATCCACAATTTCATCATTTAATTAGATGTCAGGTAGATAATTCCATAATTTTGTACAATAAATGAATTGGTATATTCAATAAAAAAATTCAATAACATGAAAACTTACGTAATTTCCAGATATGATATTTATTGAGTGGGCACAAATTCTTTATTCGTTCACAATGATATCGATAAATTTTCATAATAAAACAAATGATAGACGTGAAAACTTGTGTCCACTCATATTCACGCATATTTACTTCCCAGTATAAAATTATAAATAAATCCCTATTTTCATGCCTTTTATTTCATAGTTGTAATTTTGCAATTAACCAAATGTCAATAAAAAAAAGTTTTTGAAACACTTTTCTTTATCTTTAGATTGTATTATCTCCACCAAGGACTCAAATTACTGCTGCTGTTTTTCGTGGTGAGGATACTGTGGGCTGTGTTGAAGATTATTTTCTTTTAGTATAGCACAGTAAAATTTTCGTACTTATATCACTTAGGTACACAAATGTATTTTTATTTTTATTTATTTCGACTATCCCTTTGTAAATATTATATTGTTAAGTCACTCTAATCTAATTGTGTGTGTTGTGTTATATTATTAAGGATTTCAAATATAGATACATATATTTCTACATTCAATGGCGTTATTATTTCAATTTTATTTGTCTTATATCACAGGTGCATATGTACAAGGTTTAAGATTATATTGATTAGTCAATGAGAAAATACTAGTGTCCGTTCACTTAGAGGAAGGTACAGCACGGGCGATGCTCATAAACGAATATCGGCCGTAGGTATGTCTTTGATATATGACCTGTCATTTACTGTCAGATGTTTCCGATCAAAGTTTAACTGTACCTAAGCCTCTGACACCGTAAATAACTTCTAACAGTCATGCTCAATGTCAAATAGTAGTGCGAGTCGAAAACATGCGTTAAAGCCTTTAATATGTCTTCAAATATAAATAAACATCCCGCCGATATTTTCAGTAGTAATTGGTATCAATAACAGTACATTTGAGCAATGCAATTGTAGATAAAATGGTCAAATTTTCCGTGCAATACTGTACGGATTATACGCTCCTCGCCGGTTAAGAGTTTGGCCGAGAGTTGTCTCCTTCCTTTTCTTGCCTAGTGCTGTTCTTTTCTACTTTGCGCCGGTCAAACTGAAGGTCACATCGCTGCAGAAAGTAAATGAAGTATACTAACTGTGCAGTTTCACCGGAGCGTTTTAGTGGTACCGATTGCGACGGAGTTTTGATTAGAATTGGAATTAATAGTGATTCTTCAGTCACAGTTCCAACTGTGACTGCTTCGGGGAAATCGTAGTGACAGAAACATGACGTTTCACTACATTTGTAATATAAGTAGGAGCGATTTTTATAATTATTATGGATGATGATATATTTCACCTATTTAATTAACTTATCGCCCATTATGTATATACCAATAGCCTTATTACAGTTATTTCCCCCTACCAGCTTTACATAGCAACCAGTGGGTTCCCCTCGAAAATTACATCTTGCCAAGTGACATACGGCAATGAATATAAAACAACATGTAGGGAAATAAAGAAAAAACCTCATTAACTTAGAACATTACAATGCGATAGACACTTTAAACACTTACGCGGGCCGACGCCCCAGTTGAGGCCACCCATCGATGTCCCAACGTAGTCGAACTCGGTGATGTAGTTGTATCCGATGAAGATTGTAGACTACCTGAAACAGTAGATGATTGTCGCACCTAGGCCTAAATAACCAAGCATTCTATGCATTAGTCGTATTCATAGATGGCTCCCAATGCTTATCTTTACTTCATCATTACATCTCTGTGTAGAGGCTTATCTCTGTATTGGACGCCCTTGTGCCGATATCACCGCAGCTTTACCGATACTCAGGCCACTGCTGCATACGGCAGGTCAAGGGGTGGACTTCTACTCTCATTAACACGTCACCCACAGTTGCACTGCCACTCCAGGCATATCTAACTAAATCTGCAGTGGACTACCTGACGCACAGGATTTACAATCCACCTAAAGGTGTCTCCGACCAGTCGACCGGCCCCCTTACACTTCTGCAGGCCTTACATTTCAACAATAACAACAAAAACAACACTTAAAATACATAATATGTTCACAATAACCAACTTTCTCAATATTATGAAATATTACGGAACTTTACTTTCTCACGAAAGTAACTACTGCCGTTACGGCACCTTACTCTCTCACCAGAGTATCCAACGCCCTTCTACTACTTCTACTACTACCACTTCACCACTGCCTTTAACTTAAAAGTTCCCTTTCAACGGCCTTCTTTCGTTTCATTCTACATATATTAGTCATTATGTCATTAATATTTGGTTAGCTCAAATAGTAAATAAATATCGGCAAGAGGGTGTGACAGTGACGCTGAGCTCATCGTCATTTCTCAGTGGTGAAGCTTCATCCTAGCAGCCGCATGCTACCGCATGTTAAAGCATTACAACGTTTGGGTGTTCCATTCCCAGCAACTACTAATGCTGGTGAGCGAGCAGTTGTCTCGGACCACTCCGAAGGGTAGGGCAGAAGACCGTCTTGAGCTTCCTTTTAGGAATAGTAGGAATGGGTGGATGGTGAATACAGTGAGAAAGATGAGACAAGCGAAATAAACACTGAAGAGAATAGAAGACTGTTACTACTCCAGAATTTTCTTATGTGACCTAAAAAAACCACAGAAAATTTGGATCAGGACAATCGGGTCCGGAGTTGAACCGGTTTCCTCTAAGCAAAAGTTTAAATCTTGTATATGCTTATTTATTTAACTCGATCGGACGGTACCTGAACCTTGACGAAACTCTTGTACAAACTAGAGTGGGTGGATCGGCTTGCGAGTTTCGATGATTTAGGGAGCCGGACCTTAAGTTCAACTGTAAGGGGGGGGGGGTTCTTAAAGAGAACTCAGGCTAAGACAAGTCCCTGAAAGAGGGCAGCAGCTCTTTCAATACTCAGGGTGTCAGAGATCACGAGAATCGGGACACTACCACATTGTGATATTCCAAATAAAACGTATCAGACATATTAAATGATAGCGTCCTCTGGGTGTCATCAATAAGTGCAATATTTCACGAGTCGGAGCGTGGAATGTTAGGACAATGAGGCAAGTAGGGAAATTAAAAAATTTAAAGGTAGAGATTTTAGAGGCAGAAACAGGAGTTAGGAGGGGTAGAGGTAGACCTAGATTAGATTACTATTCGCAAATAGTTAAGGATATGGGTTGTTCTAGTTTTAAGGAAATGCGAAGATTAGCTCAGGATAGGAAAGAGTGGAGGTGCGTGATCAACCAGTCTTAGGACTGACGAAATTATGATGATGATTTATTTAGCGTCTCCACCATGTCAGAAATAAGCGAATTTTTATGTTTATTTTGATATATATCTACTCCATCATGATATATAGCAACAATTTTATATATTTAGAAAATGGGATGTAATTACTCTAATTTAATATTGAAAGTGGATTATACCATTTAGAATGACTAGTTAATAATTTAACAATAGTTAATTAATATGATAATAACAATCTTAGCCTACCTTATTAGATAATTGAGGAACTTAGAAATAGCACGGTACTATCACAGGGTGAGTGAAGACGGTAAGCCGCATCTTCAACTTCCGGATTATAATTATTGATTCCGCTATTTAAATGCTTGCTTACTTACCTACTAATACAACTGGTAAGTATTTGTTAGCTTGCAGTTTTAAATAAATAATCTAGATATACCAACTTTGTACCAGTGACCTAAATAAAAATTTATGGATACTATGTAACAATACCTACTGCCAAAACAGATACGCGTTTAAAAAGGGAATGATACATAATGTTTAAAGGTATAGTTTCTTTAGTCATGCCTTTGAGTAAAAATTTAATTTATTTAAAGGATTTGGATTGAAAAAATCAATTATGGGTAATTAGTAAAGTCAAATGCCCTTGGCATTCCTTCACTGTTTATTAAAAAAAAAACTAACATATATTTCGATTATATTGCCATTATCAAACTAGAGAAAACTCGTATGTTACAAAATACCCAGCTCCGATACCCACCCACAATGGCTCTCGAACATTCCAGAAGATTCCCTATTTTTCCGCTCTAGTTCACTCTGAAACATTCTACTTGAGGATAAAAAAAAACTTTTGGGTGTTTCACACCCACCAGCCAGTAAATGGTGGTGGGCGATCAAGTCTTCTGGACTACGTAGGAAGGCCCTCTTTAGCTTCCTTTCAGAAATCGTGACAATGGGCGGGTGGTGAATCAGGTGAGAAAGATGAGACGGACGAAATGAAGACAGAAGAGAATTAAAGATTATCTGTGGAATATTACTGCCTCAGCATTTGCCTAAGTTATCGTAGGAAACCACAGAAAAACTTGGACGAAGGCAGACGGACCGGAATCGAACCGGCGACCTCCCGAATGCTAAGCAATGGTCTAAACCTTTAGGCCATGTTGCTCGGTACTTAAGGATAATCTTTGAGGACATTCTAATGCAGGAATACCCTAAAAAAAATTCAATAACATTCTAGTAGTACAATCTCGCTTATCCTAGACGTGTGTTTTGTGTCCTATGGTAATTCTACAAACCCACACACCTACCAAACATTAGATGTAGGAGATTCCAAATGGTTTTTACTTTTAACACTTTGGTCAAAAGACATATTATATATTAAATCTAAAATATGCTAATATAGTGTCACAAGTCATTCCTACCATTCATACGTAATAAAAGAATTTTAAAACATTCCAGAAGGTTCTCGACACTTCCGTTCAACTTATTCATAGGACTGACAATCTTATGGTAATGTTGATTTATTGACTTATTCATTAATCAGTATTACAACTGCGAAAATTAAAGATGTTTGAATTGGAAAGTATCAAAATTAATTCCTGAGATTATCTACCATTAGTCGCTACAGGAATATATTCTTTAGATTGCCTATCATAGGCCCGGTAGCATTTTTCTATACGGCACACATGATCGTCAATCCGCTCATATCGAGCATCTGGTTTAAATGTCACATGCGATCGCAGATATGCTAATATTATAAAATAAGTGAAAAATAAAATTGCTTTCTAAAGAATTACACTTTACACTTAACCTTCACAGTGATTTTTTGTAATGCAGGATAAAAATAATCCAACACGTAATACTGATAATTACTTACTTGTTAAACACGCTTTTATTAATTAAAAAAAATCGCTGCATCATATGTATATATATTTGAGAGATATCAAATCTCAACCAAAAATAACTGCAATCTATCGATTTTTTTTACACAAGTACCTAAACTGTGAGGAGCTTGTTTTCGTTTTTCCAAAAATTAGTAGGTTTTCTCCTACACTGAAATCGCCTCTTGCAGGTTAACTTAGTTTTCCTTCTGGCCACTTAATACAGTAATTTGGTAGTTTTACCTGGAAAGTTTTCCGGGAGTTTTGAGAATTGGTAATTTCATAGATTTTGATGTGCTCTTTCCGAATTTCAACTTTGCCACTTCGTATTTTTGCCACTCTCGCCGCCATTTTTCCTCATTAATTTGAGGTAGTGTGTAGTGGGTAAAAATTGAGAATATTTCATATTAAAACAAACTCACTTCGGGAAGATTTCTACATTGTATGAAAAAATGACGTTTAAAAACAGTTCTTTGATAATATCTCCATTCCGACTCATTTTACGGTAAAATCAGTTATACGCAAAATGAAACTAGAGACAATTGCCAACAATTTATGTTTTAACCTTTTTTTCATAAAGGCAATGGTTTAAGGGTACGAGCGCCGCAAAGAGTACTCCAACACGCGTTTCCAACTCCAATCCAACTCGTTACATATAATTTTAACTGATTATATTTGTGAATTATAAAATTACTTTAAATATAAAAACTATACTGACTGCAGATATTATACTATATTTTGAAATACCGACTTACTACGGCCTGTCTTCCATTCGTTCCGAACCTACTACCAGGTTCAGCAATGGTATGGGAATGAACATTATTCAGAGCAATAGGGATGGGAAAAAACAGCAATGGGCTAATTTCTGTCACCACACTCGAGCCCCCAGCTCCAGGAAGCTTGTTAAAACTTATTTCTTGCAAATGCAAAAAGGGATGCGAGAAAGCTTGAGGATGCAAAAGGACTGGCTTTAAGTGCTCTGTTATATGCATGAATTGTAGTGGTACCTATGGTAACTCGCAAGTTCCATCACAAGATAGAGATGAAAATGAAGAAACGGAGACTATCATTGAGCAAACATATAATACAATCGAGTGAAAGACGATTGCGATGAAACACATAATCCCATCGCAGATGATGTGGATGAAATTGAGCTTTGTGACGTTTCGATTGGTAATACAGACAATGAATTCGCAGTACCTGGTCCATCAAGAACAGCGAAGCGAAGGAGAATGCGCTAAATTTCAGGATATTGAACCTCAAGGTAGTATGGAAATGAGTTTTTGGGCCAAAACTATTGATTTTACCGAAAAGAAGGATGGTATTGTTTTTAGTTTCATTTTGTATGTAGCTGTTTTTATCGTAAAATGTGTCGGAAAGGAAATAATGTCAAAAAACCGCTTTTAGGCGCCATTTTTCCAATATGGCGGCGCGAGCGGCAAAAATACAAGGTGGCAAAGTTGAAATTCGGAAAGAGCATATCGATATCTATAAAATTAGCTATTTTTAAAACTGCTAGAAAACTTTAATGGTAACCTCTATTTTTTGAACCAAATGACTGTACTAACTCTAGTAGGCTGTATAGACATTTTCACGCCTTTTCTTTTCATATGGATGATTTGTCTTTTTAATGGAGAACAAGATTTGAATGCCGTGTACAGTCCACTTGAAAGGGAAAATTTTCTGGAATTTCCGGCAGATAATGTGGTTAAACCTACTCAAAAATTTTATCGCATTTTCCAGAATTTTCGAACCCCTGTTACGATCAAGTAAACACTCGGACAGAACACGTAACTATATCGATGTTCATATCTAAAAGTAAAAAACAATCTTATCATTAATTTTAATTTATATTCCGTTTCCTTCGGCTTTTTTCATCACACATTGCAAGATACTTACAACATTCACTAATATTTTGTTAAAATGACAACATTATCCAGTTTTTTTCTACTACTGTGTATTATTGCTGCGGAGGTAAATAGTAATAAGTTTTATTTTAATATAATGTGAATAAAATTAAATTGAACGTCATTAGGGTCAAATATTTCGAAGGCGATATGGACCTCCCCCAGTAGATGTTCCCATCGGTAGAGCTAGTTCACCCGTCTGGGGTAATATAACTCAAAGGGTTGATCATTTCAATCCTGCGGATAAAAGAACTTGGTCAATGGTAAGCACGAAAGTATAATTTATAATCTAAATTGTACGTATTAATAATAATAACTGAAACGATATTTACTGAATTTTTGATGGTTCAATACTATCTCTTCTACGACCATATGGGTCTAATTCAATTTCTTCTATTATTCTATTAAAATAAGTTCCATAATGCTAAATATACAACTAAATAAGTCAATACATAAATAACAAATGAACAAACGAATAAATATTTGAATAAACAGATATTTGGTCATCTTATTTAAAGTTACTACTTTTTTTGAGTAGGAGCATGTTAGGCTTTTGTTACCTGTAATTAACTTGAAGGCTGTGAATTATATCAGAAATTGTAAAAGACGTGAACTTGAAATATGCAAATGTTAAAATTATCTAGTATAAATAATTAATGTGATGGGCTTAAAAATAGAGGATAGATGGGTACTTATTATCTAATTACTTACCCAAGGACATCATTACGCCTATAGTAGCTATGGCAGAATCCAGAGCTTACTACGATCCAACTATGAATTCCCATTCTTCAGAAATTGGTAATTGTCATAATAATTGGTAATTGTCTTCGGGGTTGGTGAGATCGAAAGAGGAGGTCTCCCCTACTACTGTACCATAAAAAGTTCGTGGCGGTCTCACCCCCAAAAAAAGTTATGGGGGTTAGATGGGGGTGGGGGTAGGGTGATCAAAAGAGGGTAAGTAAACCCCATAAAAAATTTGCAGCAGTCTCACCCCCATAAAAAGTTATGGGGGTTGAAAGTTGATTATTTCGACAATTTTCATACACTGTAATTCAAATAAAAAAAAACAAAACCCGATAACCTGACCTAACCTATTGATAAAGATATTTAAATGATGTTTTGTATAACTTTCCCAANTATTTTTATGTATTTTTCCATTAGTTTTACCTTTGAATATTGTTTAAGAATGACTATATAAATATTTACATGCCTAGAAATATATAAAAATTGGTATATTTATTAACTTTCAACCCCCATAACTTTTTATGGGGGTGAGGCCGCCACGAATGGTACAGTGGTGGGGAAGACCTCCTCCTTCATACCCCCCCCCATCCCCACCCCCTTCGGGGGTGATGGCCATTATCTAAACCTTTACCCAGAAATTAACTATCTTTGCACGTGTATGTCAATAAACCGATGGAGATAGTATCAAATAATCTCAAACTCTCCATCACCCGGTAACACTATAAGTAGGTACTCTAGAATTAACACTAAACTAATAAACAGATGATATCATACATTGAAGCTCTTAAAAATAGCACCTATCCTCTGGAAGTGATTTTTAAAAATAACAAACAGGCGGGGGCATAAGTAACATATTCAAAAAAGTTGTTCTACATCATGTAGTAGTAACCCACATGCAATTTTCTTTCGAAATTCTGTATTTCAAACCCATAAATTGCTAAAAGTCAAAAGGTGTTGTTAATATCCTCCAGTTCTAAGGCATATTTACACCCCAACAAAATTTTGAATCAACATTATTGGACAAACACCCTAAGTATCGGTATTTTAGGCAGATGAAAGGAGTGAATCTACTGTATAGAATCTTTATGCTGTGGCTTCACAGCAGAACTGGTCAAACTACGCTCCTAGTTCTCTTAGGTGCTTCTGCAAGAGCGAGTGAGAGATATACAAATCTACTATTGTACCTTTTCCTCGTGACCCAAAAGAGACAGGTATAGTGCCCTCTTTCTCCATTACCATAACCAGAAAGCTTAAATACGGAAAAAGAGACAAACAGTCCATTTCAATTTGTTAGAATTGTGACCTTGAAGAAATCTGCGCGAAGATAGAAAGAATACACACTAGGCGTGAGCAAGACAGAAATAGTTGGAACAAGCTTGAACGATCAGAGCTCTCGATGGGCGGTCTTCGGAGATCGGCTAGAACTGTACAGTACTAGACGAAAATGTTTAGCAATTTATTAAAACAAAAATGTATATAAACTAACAATAGAAAACAAAGAAAAAGTTTTATAGGTGTATAGAGCGTTAAGTTAATTCACTTGTTATTATTTTTGGTTAAATATGCTTTTAAATAAAGCGTATTCTTAAATTTTAACGAAGCAGTTTGAATAATTTTGCATTTTATCTTGTTCTCGCTCGATCATCGGTGGAGAAATGAGCTCTGCAAACAAATATAATTGAATTTGGAATTATGCTACGGCGCATCATGATAAAGGGAAGAGATATCTCAAACTTCTTGAAACGAACAGTAGGTATCGGTCGTTGCTATATCTGTCTCTGTTTCATACAACATAGTCGCTCCTGAGAAGTCAAAATTTGATCAGCTATGCTGCAAGACAGAGCCGGCCAAACTTTGACTTCTTAGGAGCGACTACCTCATAAGACCCTTTTACCCAATTTTCAAGTGCATTGTATGCAACAGAGATAGATATAGAAACGACCGATACCTGTCCCTCTTCCTCCGTAACCAAGCCTTTTGGTTATGGTTATGGAGAAAGAGGGACGGGTATCGTTCGACACTGTACCTGTCTTTTTTTGGGGTTCGAGGAAAAACCTCTCTCACTTGCTCATGCAGGGCGCTGCGCTGGTTTGTTGGGAGTTAGTTGTTAAGTCTACCCACGCGGGGAGAGGGTTGTTGCCTTCTCTCCTTATTATATTAAATAATCAAGACTCGAAAGAAAATGTACCTATTGACGCCCCTGTACATTTCGAAGAAATGCTTAGTAATATTCATAGTTAACTCGCTGAGACAATAAGACGTTATAACAAGATTAAAAGAAACAGGTTCTCAGGATTATGGTGAATTTCAATTTTTCTGTAACCTCTCGTTCACTGGGTATATAGTTAAAGTAAATATTTAATTCGTTTAGTCAAACAGAGGTTTCTGATAAATGCCATCCAAAGTTTATAATTTATTATTATGAAATCTAAAGTTTATGAGCAGTCAAGAACTAATTTTTGACCAATGGAATCGTAATATTTTAAAAATTACAAAAAAAAGTTGGTTATTGAAGAAAGTTTTAAAAAATATATTTAATTAAATTCAATGAGATGCAAATCTGCTAAGCCGACATTTTATTTCTCACATTTTGCCAATAGCGTGTGGTGTGCTCTATGTAAAAGTAGTTAAAAAATAAGGAAAGGGACTAAAATCTGGTATGATGGATGCTATGTGGGATCATGTACAAAACCATGCGTTAAAACACAACGTAGATACTAAAATTTTCTTTAAAAATGTGTAACAATGTCATAATCGCGTTTCCCATGGATATATTATGCAAAAATTATGAAAGATAAATTTTTCACTTTTTTCATTATTGTGTTTTTTTTCATCTTTGCTGTAACTATGTATAGTTCATACTTCGAATACAAATAAAGCATAAATTTTTCTAGCAATCTTTTACGAGAAAGCAGAAAGTGTTCTTCGTAGCGCTCATTACGTACCGGAAAACATCACCAAACTAATCTCTTTCCAAATTTTAATAAAATTTTATTAGGACCAAATTCAATAGGTACCGGAAAGTTATTTTTCGCAAATCAGTTTAAGTTTTGCGCAGAATAATGACCCGGACAGTAGTTATTTTTACAAAGATTTAGTGCAAAGTCGGAATGAATTTAACGTGCCTCGCCTGCCAGTGCTTAAAATTTCTAATGTGTTCGCTCGATAATGTCCCAATTAATTTGTCGGGTTGACAAATTGCAAAGAAATATCATTTCGTAGGCCGTCGTCCTAGCATAGTAACCCATATTCTGAAACGGCCAATTTATTTCTTTTCTTCTTGGCGATCGTCTCTTCCTTTAAATACTGTTTTGTTTACTTTCGGGAGCCTTCTCGAAACATCCGGATAGTTTATTTTTTTCTTTGAACTGTTTAACTGCTTTCCCAGAACACAGGTACGACACTCACGTTTACAAATACGTCACACCCGCGGTTTGTCGGCGAATCGATAAGCCTTTTACGCACACGTGTTCCCGATCGCACGCAAACACACTCGTGCTCGCTACAATATAATCCTCGACTGTTGACCTTGATCGACCGTTAGATCTGTACGACTATTTTTTATGAGATACATCCCATGTAAGCTACCAGTACTTTCAATACGTAAATATGTTATACTTACCTGTATAATTTGTAAATCAAAAAAAAATTTTTTTAATAATTCAATAAAGTTGAATTTTACCTTAAAATTCTTCTTCCGTAGAGGTATATATACAATGACGAATGCTTTAAGAGTGGTGGTCCAATAGTCATAATTCTTGGAGGTGAATGGACCATAGCAATCGAAGGTTTAATGGCCGGAGGCGTATACGACATAGCATGCGAAAATGGCGGATATATGTTTAATACTGAACACAGATATTATGGGAAAAGTCAGCCAATGAGGTATGTGATGTGGTTGATTACCCTAAGGTACTTTATTTGTGAAATTCTAGAAAGAAGAAAGTGATCCTTCTGATATCATTTAATTATAATTTTATTTATTGCAATTTTTATGACTTCATTTTATATCTGCCAATCATTGACAGTGATAATTTCACTCCTAACAATGATTCGGTGATGCCGAATTCCCTCCCGCAGGTAGTTTTCGTTAAAATATAGATGTCGAATTCCCTCCCGGGTACTAGCCAAGTTCCCTCCCGTTCATATCAGCTCCGATAATTATGTTAACGACTACTTACCGATTTTATTTATCGAAAATAAATATATATTTATAGTTCACTTCAGTACTACGTTGATATGGTGGTAAGCCGCATCTTCAACTTCCGGATTATAATTATTGATTCCGCTATTTAAATGCTTGCTTACTTATTTCGTACTTATATCACTTAGGTACACAAATGTATTTTTATTTTTATTTATTTCGACTATCCCTTTGTAAATATTATATTGTTAAGTCACTCTAATCTAATTGTGTGTGTTGTGTTATATTATTAAGGATTTCAAATATAGATACATATATTTCTACATTNTGAAACGTTTATTTATTTAATTTTAAAATGGTTTCCCACTACCTTAACAAATTCAATGTTTGGAAATTCGTGTGCGTCTAGCTTTTTGATGCAATAATCTAGAAAAACATTATTAGTTTTAGTTTGTCTTGTTAACAATTTTTTAAAATCAGATGAAACACTTCGTAGTATTTGACCAATAGAAGGGTAGTCTGATAAAATTATTATTGTTATTGTGGTGTCTACAATATATGAATAATATTAAGGATAATATGCGACGTGAGGCTGTATCATTTAAACAACTCTTTACAGTGGCAATTAGCACTCAAGGTCTTCCGCCGCCGTTGGGAGGCAATTGATGTATAATTGGGAGGGAATTCGACATACCGAAAATTTTAACCCTAATTAAAAACAGGTATATGGGATATCCCAATGATTAACCAAGTTCCTTGCGTTGTTGATGGATAGCATTCACTGCTGTATGGGTAATAAGATCGTTACGAAAAAATAAATAATGGACATTCATCAACTATACTTGGGACTGTCAAAACTGACAAAATCCGCAATAAATTATCTGCGAAAACAGATGTATCTTCTTTCTTGTTTCAATTTGAGATTGTATTTATTTGCTGCGTTTTGCACACGCCCTTGTTAAGCTAGGGAAATATGAAATCCTAAAATGTAGCATTGTCCTACAGATGGCGTTTACCGCGCCATTTGTAGTATATTATAAAACGTGCTGTTAAGACAGCAGGTAAAATTGGTCTGTGTTCTGCGACGCCCTGATGAGATCCAACAAGATCGAAATCGCGATCCGCGTTTGGCAGTTTCGACAGAACACAGACCACTTCGAATTATTTTATTCGATAATGGTAACGTGCCTACCACATAGTGGTGAGCTACGCCAGGATTTTGTTTCAGCAAGTAGATATCCATGTATTTAAATGGACCTTGCTGAGAATACGAAATCCTAAAATGTAGCATTGTACTACAGATGGCGTTTACTGCGCCATTTGTGGTATTTTGTGGTGGAATATATATATCTAAACAAGCCTTTGCTTTCCTAAATTCATGAGAATGTTGAATTTTCTTTAATGTCCGTTGCTGACAACATGCTCAAGTTCTGCTTACCTACATCTCTTTCTGTTACACATCAATTGGTGTAATGTTTATCTTTTTTTTATTTATTAGTGCTCGCTGCAATTTCTCCTGACATCTCTTTCCTATGTTTACGATATTCCCTACAACGTCTGTCGTGAGTAAAACTAGGCGTTCTGTCAGCAACCGCTCTAGTGAAGTTAGTAATTTGAAAGGAGAAAGTAAAAGCGACAGTTTTATTGCGGTCTATGTCAATTCTGAATGTCCCAACTATAGCTTGATAGTTATTAACATACACCAGTGTAACGTAAGATACGTTTTGGGCATTCACAGTAACATATACATAGATCACTTTTGCATTTATTTTATTTAAAATACAACATCGTGACTGTTTTCTTTCTGCATTGTTGGCCGCCCCAGTTCGAGAACGGGATATTGTTTTTTGTTTTTTGGAACTCTATAAATAATCAATCAGATACATGGAATAAAGAATAGGATCACTGTAGTTCTTAAGCTTTCACGGCCGGCGTATGTCGATGCTGTATTTTCTTCCGGGCTTTTTGACCGTGGTCCGTGGAATCTTACTTTTCCAAACGTTTCGCCGTTCGGCATCTTCAGTTTCATCAGTTACGTCTCAGCACCTGCTCAGTCACCACTGAAGATGCCGTCTACAAAGAACGGCGAAACATTTGGAAAAGCAAGATTCCACGGACCATGGCCAAAAAGCCCTGAAGAAAACTCAGTATCAAGAATAGGATCGCTCAAGTACATGAAAATTTAGTTGTAGTAGTGAGGTAGGACGATCAACCGAATTTTTTTAAGAATTTGAACAATATTAGTGCGTCGAGGTATTCACGAAATGAAGAAAGATTTAACTTGATCGAGATATATGACTAGTCATGTTCGTACAGTACCTTATGGGATTAAAAACTCAGTAGGTCATCTAACGCTAAAACCGTAGGATATCACACACCTTTTAAGTCGGATTGTAGGATGTGGGCATCCCTAATCGATTTTACCCTCCTATACAGTTTCATATCATCAATATACAAAGATGACATATTGTTTTATATATGGCATCCGCTATTTATTGCAACAATAAGAAACAACGAACCACATTGGGATTTATGTAAAACTGCTGAGGGAGCCGTGAAGGTGAAGGATGTTCATGGAAAATATTAACTAATAATAAAAATATTAATGCAGATGTAAAGTCTGTATAGACTACATCGAGCTATTCATTATCCTTAAAAGCAACTAAAATATATATCTGTAATTCTAATTATATAATTGTTAAAGAGCGAATACTTATAGGAAACGAAAAACTAGAATAAGTGGCTGACTTTAGATACCTAGGAAGTCAGACAAGTCAGGATGGAAGAATTAGTAGGTATATAAAGCAGAGAATAGCGCAGGGTCGTGTACCTTTAATAAAAAAAAGTCACTTCTATGCTCGCGAACGGTTAATTTATAAATCCGAAAAAGGTTGTTAAATGTTTGGAGCGCGGCGTTTTACGGTAGCGGAACATGGATAGTGGACGCGGCGGATAAGAAAACGTTAGAAGCGTTCGAAATCTGTTGTTATAGACGAATGATAAGGATAACGTGGATAGAAAATGTTAGAAATGAAGAGGTATTAGAAAGAATAGGATAACAGAAGACTCTATGGAAGTCAATAAGAGATAGGCAAGATAGGTTGGTAGGCACCTTCTCAGGCATGAAGGTCTAGTCAGAGACATAGTAGAGGCAGAAACAGAAGTTAGGAGGGGTAGATGATGACCTAGATTAGATTACTGCTCGCAAATAGTTAAGGATGTGGGATGTTCTAGTTTTAGGGTAATGCGATGTTTAGCTCAGGATACAAACGAGTGGAGGTACGTGCCCAACCAGTCTTAGGACTGACGACCTTACGATAATGTTGGTGATGAATTGTTAATTCAGTAATTGTCATCACATATTTTGAAAACTGGAGTTAGATAAGACTTGCTCATAATTGATCTTGATCTTGACATTGATCTCATACGAACATCTTGTTTCTGGCATTGTTGTGGTTTTCAAGACATGATAAGACAAGATCAATATATTCTTGATTCCTGCAGCAGCCCTAGCCAGAAGGAGTAACGTTAAAATTGGTATAATAAATAAAGAACTTCCTGTCCTTATTTTTGATTCCACACTACAAAATACGTGAAGACATATTACTCAACCTTGCCCATAGTTTCTAAAAATTTGAAATTGTTAGATATTTCTACTCATAGCAACTGGTAGTAATATCACACATAAATCCTAATAACGTTGTTTCAATGATAAAACGTTTTCATTGGACCCCACAGAAAACATAAATGATAAATAATGGCATAAAAGTGTTTTTCAAATTATTTTTACAGTGATTGGGCTACTGAAAATTTAAGATACCTTTCCACCGATCAAGCTCTTGCTGACCTTGCCTACTTTATTAAATACCAAAAGGAGAACGTTAAAGCCTTACAAAACAGTACAGTAAGTAACTCTAATTAGTATTTACGTAAGCATTTACATGTCTTATTTTTTTTGGTTAAGTTTCTATTAAGGAAACGGTATTGACAAAACAGTATTGTATGAAAATAAATAAAAGTAAATCAGAAATACTGGAATGCAAGGGAAGAAAAAGTAGGGAAAGAGGGAATATAAAGATAGGAGACGAAGGAATAGAAGAAGTGACTGATATTAAGTATCTAGAAAGACAGATAAGTCAGGATGAAAGTATTAGGGATATCAAGCAGAGGATAGCGTAGGGTCAAGTCGCCTTCAATAAAGAGAAGGCACTTCTATGCACGCAAACGATTAATTTAGAAATTAGAAATAAACTGTTAAAGATGTATGTTTGGAGCGCGGCGTTGCAGGGGTGCGAAACAAGGACGGTTAGGTTAGAAGCGTTCGAAATGTGGTGTTACAGGCGAATGATGACAATAACCGTGGATAGAGAAAGTTAGAAATGAAAAAGTATTAGAAAGAATAGGAGAACAGAGGACTCTATGGAAGTCAATAAGAGATAGATTAGTAGGACACCTTCTCAAGAATGAAGGTTTAGTCAGAGGCATATTAGAGGCAGAAACAGGAGTTAATAGGAGTAGAGGTAGACCTAGATTAGGTTAAGAATGTGGATTGATCCAGTTTTAGGGAAATACGAAGATTAGCTCAGGATAAGAAAGAGTGGAGGTGCGTGTCCAGCCAGGACGACCTTATGATGATGATGAAGTTTGTATTAAAACAAGTATTGCTTTTGAGTTTGTTTAGGCAAGGCTGCCAATCGACAGCAAAAACGTTAATTAAGCCACAATAAATTAATAGAAATTAATATAAGAATATAATTGTCTTCATTTACCGTTACTTTAGGTTCTAGTAATTGGATCTTCTTATTCTGCAACACTTGCCACGTGGGCTCGCATCAAGTATCCTCATTTGGTTGACATTGCTTATTCCTCCAGTGGCCCAATTAATGCAAAACTGGATTTTTATGGTAAGTTCAATCTTTCAACAATGCATATGGTACTGATTTAAACCGTTTGTTCACACGTCTGAAGTTTTGGTAGCACTCCGTATTGTAACGTTTGTGATTCGTTTTACGTCGAAACAAATTGTGTAAGTGCTATTTTAAAAAACTGAGACGGAAGCAAGTGGCAGAATTTCTGACAAGTATGTTGCACTTTATGAATACAGCAGTAAGAAAAGCTTCTTTTATATGATTATCAAGTGTGTTAAAATTAGTATTCTTGACAATAATCTCTGTCTCTGTCGATAGAAACAACAATATTGAGGACTCGTCGATTACTAACTTGCTGAAAAAGCATTTGTATTTTATTCTACCTTAAATTCAAGCTATTTTCACGATCGTCAACCTCTTTTTCCGCCATTCTTCACAACTCACCCTATCATCACTGAAGATGCCGACAGAGAAGAGTAGCTAAAAGCATTATCACAGAGATAGTGCTTGCACAAAAACGCTTTTACGAAAATGTCCTCGATACTCCTGTCGTGAAAGTAATATGTCTATTACGTAGTTCCTGTTGTATCCCGCGACTATGTCGCGTTCTTAAATTGGGCTGTACACGCTCACTTCCAAGCAAGTAAACCAGTACTAACTTTTTGAGAACAACTTTATTGTTTATTACTTACACTTAATTTATGCTTAACACTTAACTTAAAATAAAAAAATGGAAAAGACGTAGAAAATGTGGTATGTTGCAAGAACAGGATTAGAATTAGAACTCCTCGAAATTTGGTACCTGCTCCCTTTTATAGGGACGCTAGAGAAAGCGCCATTTAGGATACTTCTCAGAAAAGTTTCAAGTACGATGCTAGTTTTATAGCACCAAGTAAACAAAGTTTGGCTTCGTTTTACAACGGCAAAAATACAAGAAGTAAATATTACATTTTCTAGTTAAGTTTAAATCTTGATATTTGTTGTTAAATATTGATATGGGATATAATAATGATATGGGATATTTGATGATTACCTAAAGAGATATGAAACGAATATAACATTCCTATAATTAAAAATTGGGGCTAATTTGTAAACCACCGGGAATCGAACCTGGGACCTTTGGCTTTACGCACCAATGCTTTGACCACTAAGCTACTGTTCGTTTCAAGAAGTTCGAAATATGGCCTTTCCCTTTATTAGGATGCGCCGTAGCATAATTCCAAATTCAATCATATTTGTCTGCGGAGCTCATTTATCCACCGATCATCGAGCGAGAGCTAGACAAGAATGTACAGTACCATTTGCAAAATTACTTAAACTGTCTCGTTAAAATTTAAGAATATGCTTTATTTAAAAGCATATTTAGCCAAAAATAATAACAAGTGAATTAACTTAACGCTCTACACACCTATAAAACTTTTGCTTTGTTTTCTTGTGTTAATTTATATACATTTTTGTTTTAAGAAATTGCTAACATTTTCGTCTAGTACTGTACAGTTCTAGTCAATCTCCTAAGACCGCCCATCGAGAGCTCTGCTCGTTCAAGCTTGTTCCAATTATTTCTGTCTTTCTCACGCCTAGTGTGTACTCTTTTTATATTCGCGCAGATTTCTTCAAGGTCACAATTCTAACAAATTTAAATGGGCTGTACAAAAATTGACAACAGCAACAACGACAAACCGTACTTATCAGGTCACAAATCTGCCGAATCAATGTAACTATATTAATACTATAAATATGAAACACTTTGACATTTAATAGGGGTTAATATCAAATATTAATGTGAAAATTCATTTTAATTTTCTCCCACTACAAACTACCTCAAGTTGATGAGGGAAAAATTAAATTTAGTTATTCCTCGTAGCATGTAGTTGCTTTATAGATATAAGCCCGCCTAATGTTGAAGTACTCTTAATGTCTTAATTTAAAATATATCTTATTTAATAACTATTTTAAAACTACAATTTCAACTGAAAATGTTTATAATTATTGGACCGTCTCGCTTTAGAATACTATGGAGTGGTCGGCGACAATCTGGCTCTCGCTTCATCGTCGTGTTTTGAGGTTATTAAATCAGCAACTTCTGAAATTGAGACTTTACTTGAAACAGAAGAAGGTATTGCCAATGTGTCCAGATTATTCAAGTAAGTAATTACCCCACAAATTTAGGATCTTGTTAGTACGTTTTTCTAATTACGTATTTTGTGTAGGTACTAGTTGAACGACTGGGTTACTATAATGTCCTTATCTGTAGTTAATCACTAAATGTTGACTATCATTCGTATAAAGTATTTCAATATTCAAAACCTAATACAGTCGAACCTGGATAAATGAGAACTGGGTAAGCGAGAAAACTCTATTAATGAGAGTATTTGCCAGGTCCCGTCATTTTGCCCTTCTAAAGCCTCTATAAGTGAGAAACATAAAATTTGTATAAGTGACAGTCATTTTTCATGCGTGAACCTCTTTAAGTGAGATTGCTATTTGCCTATACCACTATAAGCCGACAGTTTACTTTTGCTATTTTATGACTCGTTCTTAAATTTCAAGAGACTCTTATTTCATTCGAATGACCAAATGTGCGTCTGTTGTTGTTTTCTATAGTTCTAGGAACTTACGTTGTATTTGAATGACCGAGTAAGTCTTTATTATTTTATTATAGACAAATGTGCGTACCGACTTGTTTATCAATCTTATTACAGTCAGTTCATAAAAGCAGTTGCGAAGAAAGGTTCTGCACTTCCTTAGAATGTCTGAACGAAAACTCAATGTGTTGTCGAACAGTATTTTTATATACTTCTATAAGTGAGACAGATTCCTCCTGTAACTCTGTAAGCTAGAAACTCGGGTTAATGAGAAACCTCTATAAGAGAAAAACAGATCGCGGTCCCCTAACTTCTCACTTATCCAGGTTCGACTGCATTAAAACTGTAAAAGTTTCGATTTGCACGCTTGCCTTCGATTTTGTTGATATTTTACTATCTACGATTATCAGTTTAATATACCGAGGAAGAGCATATAGAGGCATATACACTTATATAAATAAGGCGCGAAAACCATTTCTTCACCCAGTTTTAGGGGTTGAAAAAGAAATATACAAAAAATTAATCTACCCCAACCACTACCGAACCCAATTTCCCAAAAGCTGGTTGTACAGGCACTTTTACTTCTTCCTACCTTGACCCAATCATTGCAAACCGCAATTCGAAAACCAGAGCAATCTTGATCTCATCTAGCTCTACTTCTGCCCCTCTTAGCCCCTATTTCTACATTCCAGCTAATCCTTCAAGTCTAAGAAAGTATTCCTACCAACTTACCTTTTTGCCTATCACAAAGATACTGCTTTCACTTCCTCACTTCCTTAACACTCCTTCTTCCTTTTCTTTTTTACCACCAAAGCAAACGTTTTTTTCTTTTTCGCAGCGTTCACTGCTACGTTTCACAGAGTCGTGCTCCAAACATACACATAACGGTCTCCTTTTCAAATTAATCGATCGCGAGCACAAAAGTGATTTCCCTTTCTTAAAAGCGACCCTACCCTGCGCATTTCTCCGATTTATAACAGTAACCTCACTTTCTTTATGCTGTTCTTTTCTAAGGTAGTGTCACCGAAGGTGACCGGGCTCCTAAGATAGCCCACTTTTCAAAAAATACGGTAATGATTATTCGAAACATTTTAAATTTCGCGGGTTTATGCTACTAGTGCCATAGACAATAGTGCAAGTGAGTTTCATTACCGACGCGTCGCCATTTTGAAGGCAGATGACAGTTTGCTTGGTCATGTCATGACGATGCACGTTTTATAACCTCCATTATCTAAATCATTTTGAAAATTTACAAATTCAAAACAAATCTCGTTGCTCTAAACTGTGAAAATTTATATTTAATCTATTTGTCAGCGAATCAATTTCCTATCATAGCCCATAATATAATTCCCAAACATAGCCTGGGCCTTCTTAGGTTTAAGTTCTGATTAAGGTTAAAGTTATTAAGTAAATTCACTTTTGAGATTTTTTTCAGTTTTTTTAGAAGTGTACACACTCAGTTAAAGACGGTAGCGTCTAATTTGTTTTAATTAATTAAGTATATTTTGATTGATCTCAAAGTTAATATTCAGTATTCCTTAGATAGCCCACCTATGAATGACATTAAAAAAAATATATAAAAAATACCTGATTTATTTTTATTTTTGATAAGTAACTTTCAAAGTTGATCTCAAACTTAACTTTTATTTTATTTGTTTATAGTTGATTTTCATTTTGATAGATTTAAGATAGCCCACATTTAAATTTTTGGATGACTTTTTTAGCTTTTATGAATAATGTTATGAGAAGGATGTGTTTTTATTTTCATATTTTATGTTAAAAATGTTTAAGTGTTTATAATGCTTATATTTTCATTAATATTTTTCGGGCCATCTTGAGCGATCAGCTTCCCAAGATAGCCCAATACCAAGTTTCTAAAAAGTGTTTACATTTGTGTTAAAATGCCAAAAGCTTTACTACTTTTTTAGATATCTTGTTTCTCAAATAAATATATAACAACTTCCATTATGTTTTTTCTTTACTTTACTTATCTGCAAAATTTTACGAGGTTTTGAAATTAAGTGGGCCTTCATTGGCGCCTGTACCTTATAGTCTCTACAATCCTAAGCAATCAAACCTAACCATACTTTAACGCCTCTATTTCATTGCTTAAGATCATAAGGTTACGATAGCAAAAGGCAACACGAATACAGAGAATGTTGTCATGATCGTGACCTTCCTTTTTTTGTAGAAATGTGAATCTTACACTAAAATTTCAACAAAATTAGAAATCAGCATTCTAATCGAGACTTTAATATCTATAAAACCAATTGGCAATACTACAATTAAGGCTGTACAATCAATTTATTTAATTAAGCTTAATTATACACTGTCTCTTTCCTACTTCAGAACCTGCCAACCAATAAACGTTACGGAGCCGTCCCGTTCTTTCTTCTTCAACACAATAGCAGACACTTTTGCAGGATTAGTACAATATGCAGGTCCAGGTGACATCGAAAGAGGTTGTTTCCAAATCGAAAATGCGACAGGTTCTAATGTAGAAAAATTGGCTTCGTATATCAGAACACAGTATGGTGACTCGTGCATGGACTCATATAATACTTATGTAGATGAATACACACCAACTAATATCACTACAGATATGAGTAAGTATGGCGAATGCTTAAGTTATTGTTTCTTACTCTACTGTTATTGTTTATTACATTACTGCCCCTTTGTATTTTTTGTCCCAATAAAAGATAATTGTGAAATCTGCGAACATTTAATGGAAAAGGGCTAAAGGATGTCCTTTTAGTTTCTGTTCCTTTTTTTTGATTTTAAGAAACACATTTCCGATGAGCTTGGTTACTCTATTCTCTCTCTCTATTGTATTATCGCTAAAAGAAAAACCCTCGTGCCGCCTACCCTACCTCCATTCAACTGATCGGAGTCACGGGGCTAGACCAAATGAACGCGCAAGAGCGAGTGCGATCAAAATCATGTCGTATAAAAATGCGCACGTGGTGCGAACTGATCTACGAGCTCTCGACCTCGTACTTGATGCATCATTCACTTGATATCGGTACTTCAGTTCGGACGAGAAACTTTATTTAGAAATTCGATCTTGAAATGGCGCAGTAAACGCCATCTCTAGTACGATGCTACATTTTAGGATTACGTATGCTCCGTCAGGGTCCACTTTTATTCGATTATGGTAACGTGCCTATCACATTGAGGTTAGCTACGCCGGGATTTGTTTCAGCAAGTAGATATCCACACAAGTGGACCTTGTTGGAGCATACGTAATCCTAAAATGTAGCATCGTACTAGAGATGGCGTTTACCGCGCCGTTTGTGGTATTTTCTAAAACGCACTGTTAAGACAGCAGGTAAAAGTTGGTCTGTGTTCTGTCGGAGCTGTCTGCGACGCGCTGATGAGATCCAAAAAACGGAAATAGCGATCCTCGTCTGGCAGTCTCGACAGAATACAGAACACTTCGAATTATTTTATAAAATTCAAATAAATCGACGAAGAAGAAGAATCTATTATGTATATTATTTTAGCGTGCTGTATTAACATCGTCAAAGAAGCATCGCGTTAGACTTCACGAAAACTATCATGTTCGATCCAGTATGATGGACAACCTAACCTAACCTTGCTTAAATCCTACAACTTTCATGTTTCAGAGTCATGTGTACGACCTTCGGTCAATTTTAATCACGTGTAGTATTAGCCTTGCCCACGAAATGTCGGACACTGGTCCACGAGAATAATTTTACGGAAACGTTAGTTCTAATTTTTTATTAGAAATACCAACGAATAACTAAAACGCTGTCCTAGTTCACTCCTGATAGTATCCTCTTCATGCATGTAAAGTATCATCAAAACCTGTTCAGTCGTTTTGGAGATTAGCCCATAAGACAGAGTATACTAAAAACATGCAAATAACTAACCAGTGCTTGAATACCACATACATACACTTGTATAGTACAGTCGATATAAGAAGGCAAAGTCCCCAATAAATAATGCACACTAAAGGCATATCGTTTTTCTCGTTCTTACAAACGGAAGATATCCTGTCTTTACTCTCTAAACACGCCTCCTCCACAGCTGCGTCGAGGCCTGCACCTACGTTTCATAAGAATCAATTGAATAAAATGAGACGATCGACAACATGCTTGTCTTGTCATTTGTACCTACATAAAATAGGCAAATTTACAGGGTCGGCTTAATTTAGTTGGTGTATTTGTGCGAATAGTCATCTCCCTACATATATCGTTTAAGTTATTTTTTCGTTGTAACTATTGTTGTTGTTGTTTTTCTTGGTGTTATTGTTGTTTTTATTGTTATTTTTATTGTTAAATGGTCCGAGAAGTTTTAAATTCTCAGAGTAGAAAAATTGTTCGGAATGTTATTAATTATTTTCAAAGAAAAAAATTTGCTCATTTAATGTAGGTTCAGACAACAAGACAAGCACGTTTTCAACCGTCTCATTCTGTTCGATTGACTCTTATGAAACGTTAGGTGCAGGCCTAGACGCAGCTGTGGAGGAGGCGTGTCTAGAGAATAAAGACAGGATATCTTCCGTTTGTAAGAACGAGAAAAACGATATGCCTTTAGTGTGCATTATTTATTGGAGACTTTACCTTCTTATTTCGACTGTATTATATTTTACTTCCATACGTATACCTATAGTCATATAGATATATTCATACAAGGCAATAACTTCTTGCAGGTCGCTTGTGGCTCTATCAAATTTGTGCAGAATTAGGTTGGTTTCAAACTTCGGCATCCGAAAGGCAACCTTTTGGTAACACGTTTGCTTTGGACTCATTTACTCAACTCTGTAAAGACTTATTCGGAGAGAAGTAAGTATGAACACAATGAAATAAAAATAGACTGAGATAAAAAACCCATGATTGGATTCAGAGTTTATTGAAAGAGTTCTGTGAGCATTTCATGTTATTCATGCGCCGCCAGAAGAATTAGAACGAATAATCAAAAGAATTAGAGGAACAATCCAAAATTTTCAGTAGACTTCAAAGGTGTTTACATTTCTGAAGGGTGAAAATTAGGAGACGCTGTGTTATAGGGAAAAAACTGTGTAAAAATGATTATGTCAGGAGGAAAGAATTGTTTGAGCTACAGTTAGAAGTACAGTTTTTATGGGGTGTAGGTCTGGGGGGGGGGGGGTGAGAAGAACAAAAACAGATGAAAAACGTTTATAAGGTACTGTATATAACTTAGATGGATTATCTTGTTAGGAGAGAAATTAAATGTGGAAAATGGTGGAGGAAACTACGATAGAAAAAATGTAGCAAATTGCGAGATGAAGTTGAAAAAGCTAGGGGAACGGGATATATGACTGAAAATGCGGAAGAAGAGCGCATATGATAAAGAAAGAAATGGGGTTTGAGTTAATTAAAATTGAGTCAAGAATAAATACATAAGAGTGTTAGGATGGGCGCGTGTGTGGGAGAAATGTTGAGAGTAAGATGTAGTAAAATGATAAGGGGGATGATTTGTGAAAAACTAATAAGTCGAAATACGTGGACTGAAGGCCTTACTGTGGGAGCATTGGGAGGGAGACTGCGCGCCAGAATATGTGAAGGACATTGAGATAATAGTAAGGTTTAGAATGAGAAAAGAAAGTAGAAGTTGTAAGTATTAGATGAAGGAAAGGTAAAGGATATGTAGAATATGTAAAAGCGAGAATGAAATAGTCATGCATGTGCTCGGAAGATGTAATGGAAATAAAGATTTAGATAAATGTAGAAAAGTAATAAGAAGGGGCAGTAATGGGATGACGACGAATCAATACTTAATGCATAAAAGAAAATAATAATGGGATAATGAATTGTATTTTTTTTGTATTTCTAGCTTGGTGGCTGTTTCTGTATATAGAAGGATTTTTTTGTGACTGTTTTTATTTCTATTTTATTATACACGAAAGCATTGTAGGAAGAAGGTTTGAATATTTTTTTATCTTGTAATGTTTATTTGCTGTTAATAGATGTTTAATAACGTTTTTACATTAGTTAGCGGTGAGTCTCTACTAGTATTTTTCCTTACTACACTTTCCTTTATTATTATGATGATTCATCACCACTGATAACATTAAACAATCTAACACATTCCTGTCATTCAATGTGACTACTGTTGCATGTCCAAATTAAACTTGTACAATATACTATTCTATCTAATTTAGATACGGTGAAGAATTAACTAGTTTTTCTGTGAAAAGAGCAAATATTTTCAATGGAGGTGACGCTCCAGAAATATCCCAATATATTTCAGTGCAAGGTAGCGGTGATCCTTGGTATCCGGTGGGACTCCTGAAAAATCTTCATCCTACGAAACTAGCATTTTTTGTTCAAGGTAAATCAATAATATTAGAATGTAATAGATAATCGTTGCAAACAAACCATCTAGCTCAAGTTGTTCCGCAACTCAATTCATGTTTTCTTTGTGGTGGTGTAATAACCGTTGATACTGAATTCCCTCCCGCAGGTAGTTTTGGTTAAAATATAGATAGTCGAATTCCCTCCCGGGTACTAGCCGAGTTCGTTCCCGTTCACATCAGCTCCGATAATTAAGTTAACGACCACTTACCGATTTTATTCATCGAAAATAAATATATATTTATAGTGCACTTCAGTACTTCAGTAAATTAAAGATAAAATCATTTCAGAAAGAAAACACATATCAGTTATGAAATGTTTATTTATTTAATTTTAAAATGATTTCCGACTACCTTAACAGATTCAATATTTGAAAATTAGTGTGCGTCTAGCTTTTTGATGCAATCATCTAAAAAAACTTTATTAGTTTTAGTTTGTCTTGTTAACAATTTTTTAAAATTAGATGAAACACTTCGTATTTTACCATAAATTTCACATTGAAAATCTAGTAAAACAAGGCCATCCGCCGCCGTTGGGTGGCAATTCATGTATAATTGGGAGGGAATTCGACATACCGAAAATTTTAACCCTTATTAAAAACAGGTATATGGGAGGGAACTAGGCATTATTCATAGTAACTATCCTAAATATGTTTGTTATTGTTCTTAAATTTCTATGGTTTTTATGAATCGGTAGCTAGGGCTCTTCCATGAACCACGTAACCTGACTGTGGGGGCGAGGGATTTGACAAAAGACTACGTTGAAGCGCGTGGGGGAAGGGGGTTCAATTCAAAGCTATGTTTGTTTTTTTTTTAATATCGGCGCGTTTCAAATTTTAGTCGCGAGTGCCTATCCTTCCCTTTAGTGTTAGGCCACCCTCTTCACAGTTCATCTCCCCAACCTCCCTCCCTCATCTCTTTACCTATCTCCCACTTGACCCTCTCCCTTTCCCTAAACTTCTCCCACCTTCTCACGGTAGTCATAACCACCAGGTTGACCTACCAACTCTAAGAGGGTTTTTAGTCGGTAGACACTCCTACCAGAAGTGAATCCGACACTACCCCCCCCTTTTGGGGGGTGTCTTTAGAAGATTTCCCCTCCTCGAGGTTAAAATAAACAAAAAAAAAATTTAAGTCAAAAATCACGCCACTTCTCGGAGAATGAAACGTATGACCAGATCTTGACGCTAATAATGAACAATTTCCTATAATTCAAGATTTAAATGAGTTGCTAATCTCACCATTTCTACCTGTTGACGAAATAACTTCAAAGTTAAGATAAAAAGATTGCTTTATTCTTTTGTATTAGGGAACCTAAAAAATTGAAATAAAAGCTATAGAAAAAGGGGTGTTAGGTGAAAATCTACGGTAGACCACGTAGGAAGGGGGGTCTAAAAGTATCGAAATTCGAGCTACGTGGTTCGTGGATCCCTTTAAAAATACAATACCTAACCGTAGAATACTATAAATCTTTTTTTTATCAATAACAGGGTCAGTCATTATTTTATACAATTTAATTCGCCATTTTATTAATGTTACCTACTCATTGAGCAATTTATAACGCACTAGTCTCTTTTTGAGATTTTGACAAATCATTGCTTCACATTCTTTATAAATACATACATTTTCTAGTGATTATAAGATTATTGTAAACGGAATGTTGATTTTTGTATTGTCAAAATTTAACATCTAACCGGTAAATTCTTATAATAAATGTCACTTACATTTTAAAGCATAAAGTCTGCTCTATCATCGCTGATTCGCGATTTTACTACCAGTGTTTTATCGTTGATTAAGTTTTTTATATAAACTATTGTTAACGGGGTGTAGGTACTAAGTACCACATGAAATAAGACACGTAGTTGTAGTGATTGTAGAAATAACTATATTTAATTTAACTTAAATTTAATTCACTTTAAAACTACAAACACCGATTAATTAAAAATGATGATAAAAATCAATAGGAATAAATTATAATAATCGTGATTGTGTACTGGTTTAAAATTTTATAAAATCTATGAACTTACTATATCTAACAATAATGTAAAAACATAATATTATCCTACCCCCAGGTAGGCGGTCATTGGACCTACAAGAACGCAGCCGAGGGGAATTTTGGCTATTAACAATAATAAAATTGTGATTGTACGTGACAAACACAATAGCACACTCTTTATAATTTATCCGACTACCCCGTATACCTAACAACCAGCTAAGCGTAATAAGGGATAATTTTTTATGTTAACACTATCTTAATTAATAACGCTTTCATTTAATCAAACATTTTCATATATTTGTAGTATTAGAAACGAATGGGTAAATTGAGTAATTTTAATCCAATCAAATTCTATTGTTTTACTGTTCAATATTTCTTTTTGAACTTAGGTTCATCCCACTCTGCCGATCTCAGTTCCGTATCAGAAAGTGATTCCACGCAGTTGAGACAAACAAAACTTGCAGTACGTGAAACAATAACGAAATGGCTGGCCGAAATAAAGTAAATATTTTAGGAACACGTGTAACAATAACGATCATTACAGCAACTTTATTTCATTTATTATTTCTAATTTCTTACATCCTTGTAAAATTAAATAATTCTGTTATGTACGACCAATAAATAAAATCAATGGCGATTAAGGAATTTTTAGACATTTTACTAGGTATATTTGAGTCAATTTCGAAAGCCAAAGCTCCCCCTTACACCTCCCCAACCACTTCAAACATTGACTCATCCATAAATACAAGGAACATACCTTATCCAAAAAGTAAGTGTCAATTGATTAAAAAATACACAAGAAATCAGTGCCGGTGCCTGAACAAGGAACGAAATTTCAAATATAAAACAATAGTGGAGCGGACGCTAGTAAAATACTGTCAAAGATAATAACTATAAATACAGGGTGATTCAAGAAGTTTTCCCGCCACTCAGGGAGTGTGTTCTTCCCTGTCAGAAATTGATACCAACCAGTTGAGACAAACAAAACTTACAATACGTGCAACAATAGCGAAATGGTTGACCGAAATAAAATAAATATATTAGGAACACCTGCAACAATAACGATCATTACAGCAACATTATTTCATTTATTAGGTATTTCTAATTCCTTGCACCTTTGTAAAATTAAGTGAGTCTATTATGTACATGAATTTGTCTAGTCTAGTGTTTGATTAGTAATTAATAAAATCAGTGGCGATTAATTTTGTGAATTTTTAGTCAGTTTCGAAAGGCAATGTTCGCTCTTTCACCTCCTCGAACTACTTAAAACATTGATTCATCCGAAGGTACAGAGAACGTAGTTAATCCAGAAAATAAGTGTCAATTGATTTAAATTTACACAAGAAATCAGCGCCTGTGGATCCATATTACTTACGGGATTTACCCGCCACCGGAGCAATAAAAATAGATGTTGCGACAAAGTTCCGATTGGTGAAATTTGTCTGTACACAATCATCCTGAACAAGCAAAGCAATTTCGATTGTAAAACAATACAGGAGCGGACGCTAGTAAAATACTGTCAAAGGTAATAAATATAAATATAGGGTGATTAAAGAAGTTTTTCCGCCACTCAAGGAGTGTGTTCTAGAGGTCAAGTCTTAAGGGTAGATCTTTCATATAAGATGCAGAAGTTCTTCCTCTAAAAAATGTAGGCAAACTTCCAATCACATGGTTGCTGATTATTACGCATTATACATTGAAACTAAAACGATGCTGCAGGTTGCTGCCAACGGTACCAATTGGGTTCAGATCAAATCAAAGGTGCGAATTGAGCAAATTATTTACGTCTCTGGTGAATTGAGCTTCACAAACTTCATGAACATAAAATTTATAATTCGTCACAACTTGCCTGTTTTTGAGAATCGAACCCATGCTAATATGAACTTTTTTGCTTAAAGTGGCTCCTTAAGAGGTCGTGAATCACCCTATAATACTTAAAAATCGATAACATAATTCAAAAAAGGAAATAAAATGATATAAGAACAAAGGCTTTCACGGCCGGAATCCATAATAGAATGAAGATTCGGGCTATAGGGCCGTGATATAAGTGAACTATTCTGTCCAGACGTTTCGTCGGCTACTGCGGCTGACATCCTCAGTGGTAGTGCTGCGTTGACAACATGAACGAAGATTATATCTCGAAGTCTCGACAGCGACTGAATAGTTCACTTAGACCACGGCCATATAGCTCGAATCTTCATTCTACTATTGGGATCCATCAAATGGGCATACACCATCTGGTGGCAAAATTTATAACTCGAATGAGGGAAAAATTTACATAGGAACTGTGCATGCAAATTGTAAAATTGTTTATTAAAATAATAAAACACGTTAAAAAAAGTAAAAAAATTGATGATGGAGTCGATGAAGTTTTCTTCTAAAGTTAAATCAAATAAAAAGTTAATATGTTCAGTGAAAAGCTGCAATAGGCTTTGTGTCAGCCCAATCACATATTGTGTCAATACTTATCATTTTATCGTAATTTAAAAGCTTGGAAATTGCACGGTACACTATAAGAACTACGATAAATTTTCCCTAATCGGCGCCATGTTTTTAGGCTCCTCCCATTTGACGGATCCCAATAGAAATAAAATGATGTTTGGGACAAAAAAAGTGGAAAAAAACGATGTATACTGACGGTCAATAAATCGTGATAATTTTAATGTTAATGTCAATAATAAAAAATAATCTTATCGTTAATTTTATTTTATATTCCATTTCGTTTGGGTTTTCCCATCACTTACTGAAAAGTACTTACATCATTCGCTTAGATATTGTTAAAATGACGGTATTATCTAGTCTATTTCTGCTAATGTGTATTATTGCTGCGGAGGTAAATAATAATGACCATTATTGTAACATACCTAGATAAAATTAAATCTAACATACTTAGAGTAAAATATTTCAAAATCCGCAAGAACCTCCCCCAAAAGATGTTTCCATCGATAGAGATATTTTTCCCGTGTGGGCTAACATAACCCAAAGGGTTGATCATTTTAATCCTGTGGATAAAAGAACGCGGACAATGGTAAGTACAAAAATGTAATACAAAATTTTGCTTTGCATTTGGAGTAATTGTAGATATCAATTAATTATAATAACTTAGGTATCATTCACTGCATTTTAATACTATTTATATCTTGTGCCTCGGTGTGGGTCTAATTGACTAAACTATTCAAATCCGTTTCAACATACTAAATATGTATCTAAAAAATAAATAAATAACAAATGAACGAACGAATAAATGACTGAATCAATGAATAAACAGATAACTCATTATTTTACTAAAAGCTGATTATTCTATTAACCTCTTTCTTGATATTTTTGTGTAGGATGACGGACAACAGAAATGGCGTGCTGCATTTTCAGCTTTAATAATTAGAACAAAATGAAACACTAAAATAATGGAATAGAAATTATGACGACGCCCCAAGCAAAATTAAACAAAAGTAATAAATAATGTTTTTTAGTTGGCGGATTTTTTGAAATGTGACTTTCAAAACTGGGTTAAACGTAAATATTAAGTAAAAACGAACAAAAAAAAGAAGTGTCCACAACGACATGCGAACCCGCGATTTTATTATTCTTATATACTGCATCGCCACCGCCGCGTTCCTATCTTCGCGAGTAGGGAGTCAACGGCTCGCAGTTTGTTCTAAGAGGTGATACGGCACTCGATTAAATTTAGTACTTGGTGGCACGAAAGTTAACCGTTTTCGAGAAAAACGTATTTGAATGTATAGTCAATGAGCAGTCCGGCCCTGGTAGTATCACGCAAGGGAATACAACAATGCAACGCAACGTCATATTCAATTAGCTGGTAATTCGCAGCAACCGTGTTGAATTTCTTCTGTATTTTTGTACTCATGCATTATTTGTTATTTGCTGGATTAGATTAAAGTGTGACTGACAATATTTAAGTTACAACCAGCCTATAATAGTTTTACTCTTGCGAACATGTACTCAAACATTGACAGTAGGTCAGTGTGTCACTGTCATAGGTCAGTATAGAACAGTAATTGTTAGAAAGGCATTTAACACGGCAGAACTTTGTGACGCGATACTAATTTATGGCGAATATAAATACGAAGTCAATTCAACGGTCTAATTGTACAGCGAAGACTTATTCATCGGCAAACCTTATTAAATGCTGTTTAGAGATAAGTTTGGTAGACATATCGAATATTTACGTAACGATAACTTTTTCTTTTTTTTTGTGTTCTTAATGCCATGTCCAGGTATACTTTTAATAGTACTGCATTCTATCAGCGATGAACAAACAAAGTTACCTAAATGTCGGGGCGGAATATGAGCATGCATACAACACGCTTTGATCGATAGAGAACTTACAATACAACTCGTTACAAACAGTTAGGTTAGGTTACGTTCGATAGTCGGCACTGGTTACATTCTCCATTTATGTACCTGCAAAGTTTTAATTACATGACATTATTTGGTAGATACTTATACTTATTGTCAATTCTCACACAGAACCGGCTTCACATTATAAATTATTGCGATTTCCTTAAAAAACATTTGTCATTAACCATGCTGCAGAACTAATCATGTATGTAGTTTACACCCTCCAAAGTTCGGCACTTATTTCTGTTATATAATGTATTTAAAAATCAATTGCCACATATATGATACAGCATCGGTTGAGAACGGCTCGATCGATTTGGCTGATTTCTTTTTTGTTGTGTTCCTAATTATCAGAACAAGGATTGTATGGAAGAAAGATTTAAAATTTTAAAAAAATCGAAAACTTGGATGCTATTTTTATATGAAAAGAATATTGGTATATGCACCCAACTATACAACAGAATTTAGTGGTTATAACTAGGGTTGCCATCCGCACTTTATTATAAAGTATTGTACTCTCTTTCGACTGTGCGTACGTTATACTTTACAAGACACATAAAGTACGCAAAAATACTTTATTTAAGGCCTTAAGTAAACATCGTAATTTTGTAAGCGATTATTCGAAATTCAGAGTATTTTTACATCAATAATATTGCACAGAAAAATGGCAAGCCATATTTA